TATGCACACCCTCCAACCTAGTCTCCTCACCCACGCCGACATCTTCTCTACTTCTAGTCTTTCCCATTCTGCGCTTACTCTCCTTCCAAACGTGATTCTAAAGTGGTTTCCTTCCCTTTCTACCCCCCCCCTTGCGAAGCAATATAATCCTACTTCTTCACATCTACTTATGAACTCCAACCTTGTCATGTCACTATTGACCCCAAATATCAACACTACCAGTACTGCACCTTTCCATTCTCTCCTTCTCCACCCTTTGTGCCTCGTCGTCTCTCTCCCTATCTCTTTCGAGACTATCTCGTTGTTTGTGTTTGAAGTGGGATGCTTTCAAATTACTGGGACTTCCCAATCCTAGTACTTGTTGAGGGTCTGGTGTCTTCCAATTCTTTTGCCGGCTCACGAGGGGGGGGGGGGTCACCACATGCATGGACAGATTGCATGACCTTGATCTGGTAAAAAAATTCCTTCTCCATCATATCTGCTGAAAAAAAAAGGGGGGACTGCATACTTCCCATCGTTAGGTTCATGTTTTTGAACTTGGTCTATTCTATCTGTGGGGCTGTAGCTTGAAGGCGGCAGGCACTGCATATGCCGTAATGAGCGGGCGTGTGGGACACGTACAACACTCACCTCCTGCGGAGCTCTTGCTCGTAGACATACTCCAACACGTCCACCGCGAATCCGAGGTCAAAATTCCCGAAGTGGAGGCCGTCGATTTCCTCGACTCCTTCCTTGCCCCTGCTCACCCGCCCGCACAACAAAAACAATCACAACGTGGCCCACGACGTCGACGACGACGAAAAACAAACATTAGCCGCGAAGAAATGGCAACGGCACCCACGGCATCTCAGCAGCAATGGCGGGAGATAGAGGCGATCACGACCACATCAAACAAACAATGCCACTGCAGCATCCACGACAACCCACAGCAACAACAACAGCCACGATATCTCACAACACCCGTGGGGGACAAAACAAACACTGCTGTGCTCTCGACAAAAACACGGGGATTGCGTGGGGGAGGCGGCAAATTTTTTGTGGAGGTGTAATCTCGTCCGCTAAGCCATACATACGCGAACAGGGCAATGAGGGGGGGGGAGGGGGGCGTGCTCATGCCTTAGCTGTAAGACCATTGACCACGCGTCCTCGAGAAGACGGAGCATTGTTTCCACAGGACCAATCACCGATGGCCAATGGTTCCTTCCTCACAAGGTGGCTAAAAACGTTTCTTCCTTGCCCTATCTATCCGATCAGGGCAATGCGTGAGCGGGGGGAAAGGTGGTCGATGAGAGAGATATTCCGTTCATTATTTTTCATCTGCTCTCTCTCTTACTTGGGCTTGTACTCCAGACCCATCTTGCGGGCCAGGAGCTTGCGCCCGCCCAGGAGAACGATCTTTTTCCGGAGACGCCCCCGTCCCGCCTCGTTGAACGCCGTGAGTGTTGGCATCCTCTGCGCGCACGGAGCCAAAGCACACGCAACGATCAGGCAGCTCGTGAGCCGGCAGCATAAAACATGTTTCGTCTCATTGAAAAAAGAAAACAACATTCCGCTGTGATTGTCTTCCTCCTGCGTGACTCCGATTGGTGCGTCAAAACATTTACCGCAACGTGTGGTAGCTGGCGCCCGGCATGGATGAAACGAAAGCACACACACCAACAACGTTCGGTTGCGAGCGAAGGCAGGGTTCGTGCTACACACGCCAAGAATAATTTAAACGTCAGTGTCACTGACGTCAACCACATTCCGGGGGAGGGCCGCTCTTCACCCCCCCTTGTCATTCTCTCTTTTCTCGCTGAAGAGCTCAATTTTCTCGGGGCGGTGCTGGTGTAGACGCTCGCCACTACGATTCAAAAAAGGACGATGTTTCGCCTGCCGAGTCAACCCTAGCGTCTGTGGGTGGAACGTCGTGCGTTGTGCGCGTTTGCCCATAAAGACCGCGATGGCGTGTTAACGACCAACCTTGGTGCGCAGTCTCGTCCGAACCCCCGTGATATTCACGCATGTTGGCCTTTCCGTGCCCTAGGCACGCATGAACTCCATCGACGAGGAATTAAGGAAAGGAGGCGGCCTGATGCGAAAAAAAGTGGGATGGGCAACTGCTGTCGTACAACTCGAGCGCTCTGATTTTTAAAACCCCGAGATGGTACTGCGTGCTGGATGTGGTGGTCCTCCACTCCTTCCCTACCCCCCCCCCCCCCAAGAGCCTGGTCCGGTGAGAACCCGGCGTGCTCCGTCCCGGCTTTGTAGGGATGCGAGGTCAATGGTCTAATGACTACGGCATGCACGACTATGAGTACACCCCCCCCCCAAGACACACCTTCTGGCAGGACCCCGTCCACGGTGAGGAACTCCTTCAGCTCTCGCAGAGTTTCCAGCTGGTCCGCGAAAGACTTCCACTCGATATGGTGTACCAGCCTGCATCAAGGCGCAGTCAGTCAACGATCGATCTTAGCGCGGACACGCAACACGGCGGTCGAGCGCCGGGATTTCAGCCGACTAGTAGCAACACCAACAGCAAGCGGCAATGACAACGACCCCAGCAGCAACAGCCTCGGCTACAAGGACGACAACAACAACAACAACAACAACAACGACATGAGGGCTCACCCCAGGCGTTCAATGGCTGGATCATAGCCACCCGCCCTCTGAATCGCGTTCACGATATCCCGGCGTCCGTTATTGATCATGTCGATCAGTTTCACCATCCACACTGCCGGAAGTCCCTCCTCGAGCTGTCCAACACCAACCGGCAACAGTCGCACATGGGAACGGCCAAGACAAAGGTTCAGGCACGTGTTCACAAAGTGGTGCAGATAGACGACCAAATTTCCCCTAAAGGAAAAACGCTTATTTGCTGCACGGAATCGATGAAAACAGTGAGTTCTCGGAAGGGAAGCGAAAAATAGTCTGTGTTTGGCACCCACGGCAGTGCGTGGAAAAAAAAATAACGACACAAACAAAAACATTCTTGCAGGAAAACAGTGCCTATCGGTGTCGCCACCCACCCCATACGTCAGCAAGAGAGTCAGCCAGAACGCCGAGAGGACACGAAGGGTTTCGTGCCCGCACGACTCGGCGAGAATTCCGGACGTCCATTCTTGCGACATATGGTCCATGGGACGGACGGACTTTCGCAGCGTACGCATCCACGGCACACACACCAAAATATCAACCCGTAGGCACCTGGTAGTTCGTGTTGAACGCCAACACTTCTCTCACGAAGTTGCTGCCCGTGGTCCAGTAACCGGAGGCGCACTTCTCCAGCATGTGCTTGCTCTCGCTGGCGCGGTTCCCCGTCTCCAAGGCCTCTCTACTCGGCCAACCCTTCGTCGCTATCTTGATGAGCTCGGAGCCTCCTCCCTGGGGTCCCGCTGTTTTTATTTCGTCGGAACGGGGGGGGAAGGGGGGGAAGCGAACTCAATTCTTGGTTAGTATTGGTTGTATTACCTTGATTTTTGTATTCCTTTCGACTAGTACGGGGACACCCATGCGTAGTCGGAACCGGGGGGGGGGGGGAGAAAAATAGGGAAGGAGTGGAGAAACAAATTCTTCATTTGCCTAGCTAACTTATCATGATTTATGCATTCCTTTCGACAACGTACGCAAACGGGCAAGCCGGCCTTGGAGGGGGGGGGGGGGGCCCCTCCCCCGGGGAAATCCCTGGGTGGGGAAAATCCGGCAATTGGAAGAATTTCCCGGCCAAAAAAAAAAGGTCCCTTAAAAAAGGTTGGCCGCGCGCCCCGGGAGAAACCTGGCCCCTTTTTTTTAAAACAGAGGGGGGCCTTACCCCTTCCCAAACCCCTTTTTTAACCGATCCTGAAAAGGGCGGCGCCCCCCCAAAAGCTGGGGGCCCCCCGCGCGCCCCCG